TGGAGGGATGCAGGAGAAAGCCCCATATGGCACTTGGAAGCAATAGCTGGTCATGGGGGAATTTCTGTCACAAGGATGTGCAGAAAGATGGGGGGCACTGCCCCCTTTGCCCTACATGCAGAGGTGCATTTGTCCAATCCCCTGCATGCATGTTGTCACGCTTCATGAGTGCCCCTCGTCGATTCCATGAAGTAAACATAAAGACACAAGAAGAGCCCTGCTGGATCTGACCAGAGGCCTATCTAGTGCGGTATTCTGGCCTCACAGGGGCCCCCACAGGCCTCTGGGAAGCCCCCGAGCAGGCAGCAGTCTCCCACTCAAGTTTCTTGCCACTGGGAATGGAGAATCATGCGGTCTCACATGCTGAAGATAATGTATCTCGGCCATGAGTTGTGTCTGAATGAGGCCAACCGCATCAGAATGAATAAAAATGTAAATTAGTCCAAATAAATGAGCCCATCTTGCCGAAGAGTGCTGCTGAACATGGATTTATTACTTGAAATATTCAGAGAATCATTGAATAGTAGGGTTGGAAGGGGCCAGAGGATCCATGGAGCTCTCTAAGCTAAACCATCCCTCTCAGATGGCTGTCCAGCTGCATCCTGAATGCCTCCAGTGTGGGAGAGCCCACCAGCTCCCCAGGTCACTGGTCCATTGCCTAACAGTCAGGAGGTACTTCCTGATGTTCAGCCAGAAGCTGTCTTGCTGTAACTTGCACCCCTTATTCCACTCTGCAGGGATCCTGGCCTTCCCCTGTGCAGCAACCTTTCCAGTATTTGAAGAATCCTATCATATCCCCCCTTATTCTTCTCTTCTCAAGGCTAAACATGCCCAGTTCTTTCCATCTTCCCTCCCGGGGCTTCATTTCCATTCCCCGGATCATCCTTGTTGCCCTCCTTTGAACCCTTTCCAGCTTGCCTGCATCTTTCTTCAACTTTGGTGGCCAGAACTGGACACGGGACTCCAGGTGAGGCCTAACCAGTGTAGAGTAAAGGGGACCTTAGTACGTTGTGTGATTTGGAAGTGATGCTTCTATTAATGCTGCCTAAAAGAGCATTTTCCCTTTTTGCAGACACATCACATTGCTGACTCCTATTCGGCTTGTGATCTAGAACAATTCCAAGAACGGCTCACTTGCCAAGCTGAGCCAAGTATCCTCCATTTTGTAATGATGCCCTTGGTTTCTTTTCTTTTGGTTCACAACTTGGCACTGATTTTCATTCTGTTGTTTCCAGCCCAGTGCTCCGACCTATCAAGATCACATTATATCTTGCCTTTCGGTTTAACAAAATCCTATATTCTATTGTGCATCTTTGTCAGAAATCTGTCAGATGCGAATCAGCTCAGCATCGACTGCAAACCTCATCCTCTTTTGCACAACTAAGTCATACTGGAATGCACACACCTGTCGTCCGGTTCATCTTCAGGGTACCCAGAGGGGGGCACTAGCTTAGGCCTGGAGAGACCCAAGTTCAAATCCCGACTCTGCTATGATTTGAGTGCCTGCAACCTTGGTCCCAGTTCCATCTCATGTGTCCCTCATGCACGGCAAGATGGCAACCTCAGCTCAGCATTCCCCAAAACACACGCGCCCATCATGTTAGCTCTTACCTGACTGGAGAGATCAGGAGATCCCACAGGTGTGCACACAGTCCTGTGCTCTCAGAGCCAGCCTGACAGAAGTATTGCCCTAATATGGATTTGCCCCCCCTTGTGGCCAACAGGGCTCCCCTGACTTCACATGCCAGTCACTCTCTCTGCCTAACCTGCCTCGCAAGACTGTTGTACATAGACGGTTCTCACAGTGAGAGGAGAACCATGGTCACTGCCTTGAGTTTCTTGGAGGAGAGGCAGAATTTCTCAATCCTCCATCCTGCCTTTTCTTCTGCAGGGACCTAAGGTAGCTTGCATAATTCTCCCGCTCCTCTTCACTTTAGTCCCACAACAACCCTGTGAGGTAGATTAGACTGTGAGATTGGCCCAGAGTCATCCAATGAGCTTCACCGCAAGAGAACCGGGTCTACTGAGTTCCTCTCTTGATGCCCTAACCACTACGCACTCTGGTTACATATCCCTCCCCACAAGGCCGGAGGCCCTGCGAATATCTAATGCTGGGGGGGCAGGAGCTGCCCTATTCTCTGAGTGTGGCCCTCGCTTAGGCATGGGATCGCTCCCCCGCCCAACTGCCCCACTGTCTCCAGGACTAGAAACTTCCTTTTCAAAAGCATCCAGCCGGAACGGGCACGTGCCCCGCCTGGACGTGCGTGCGCGCAGGCGAGGAGACCGAGTGGGTTGCTCGGGGGTGGCCTGAAGCCCAGAAAAGGAAAGCAGAGCAAAAGCCCCAGGGAGCCTTCGGGCTGCTTGCTGGGCGCGATAAAAATCTAATAAATAACGACGAGAGAGAGAGAGAGAGAGAGAGAGAGAGAGAGAGAGAGAGAGAGAGAGAGGCAGGCGCGGGGCGGGGGGGACCCGTGGAGCCTCGGCGGGCGCTACAGCGTCTCCGTCGGTCGCCCGGGCTGCGGCGGGAGCGTGTCCGCCAGAGTCGGGCGCGGGAGCGCGGCGAGGAGGACGCCGCAGACGCCGGGGACGGCGCTCGCTCGGCCGGGCGCCGCGCCGCTTCCCCTTCCCCTTCCTTCCTCCCGCGCCTGCTGGGCGCGGCGTCGAGCGCAAGCGGCCCGGCTCGTCTGCCTGGAAACCGGCGCGGGGGGCGCGGCGCGGCGCGGCGGGCGTCGCCGGCGGATGGGGAGCGCCTCGGCGTCGGAGGAGCCCCGCTCGGAAGGAGCCGCCGCCGGCGCGGCTCGGAGGGCTCCCCGCGGCGGCTGAGCCTCCCCGCGCAGGTATTTCTCCCTTCCCCGCGCCGCCGGGCGCGACTTCGCCGAGGCGCGCCGAGTGCCGCCGCCGCCGCCGCCTCCCAGCGCAGTCGGGGCGGATTCGCGCGGACCGGAGTCCCCGCGCTGCCCGGGCGCGCCCGCTGCCGGGCGAAGAGCCCCGGGCCGCGCACGTGGGAGTCCCGCGCGGGAGCCTTGCCCGGCACGGGAGGAAGAGGAGCGCGGCCGGGGATGCCTTGCGGCGCGCGGGCTGCCCCCCCCCCCCGGCGCGCTCCCCAGGCGCGAAGTCCCCTGAACTCAGGGGTCACTTACTCCGAGTAGGCATTTGTAGGGTCGCACTGCCCGGTTTTGACGCCTAAGCGCGTTACACGCGCGCTCCGCTCGATGGCACTTCCCTCCGAGTAAACGTGGAAGCAAGCGCCTCCCCGCTTGGCCTGAGAGACCTACACTTCGGAGTGGATTCCGGAGTGGGGCGGGGGTAGCTTTGATCGGGCAGCAGCGTGCCTGGAGTCCGGATTTCCTGTATCCTGCCCATCCATTCACACGGCCTCTGGATCCAGGAGAGCGCCGGTCTGCATTTCGGGTGTTGTGAGGTTCCCCTTTGCTAACGATGTCCTTAGAAAGGCCTCCCTACCTGGCTGCAGGGGTGGGGAGGGAGGGGCCCGCTGGACAGGTAGCAAAGTCGGTTGCAACAGCCACGAAGGGGCTGATCGCAGGGTGGGAGAGTCGCTTGCACCCTCTTTCTGAGTGGGAATTGGGTTGGGGAGGGATTTGCAGAGCTCTGCGGGGCAGACGGGGAGCCTTTCCTTCCAGATCTGCTCTGTGCTCCTTGTTTGACTTTGGGGCACCTTTGTGGGGTCCCCCTGCACCATCCCGTTGCTGCTTTACGTGTCCTGGCCCATGATCGCACCCCACAGCTGAAGCCACTGTGGAGGGAGCATCCCCGCAGTTCCCCGATTGGTCTCTACTGTAGGGGTGAGGAGCAGATCTCGGCTGGAGCTCCTCTTTCCTGTGCGCAGACCTTCTCCCTCGCTGGGGAGAGGATTAGCCGGCTGTAAGTTTTAGAATGTTTTCTCGCCTATACCAAAGGAAACCCCAGTAGGGTATTTCTGCAGGTGAAACAGATCGGGGCTCATTTTAAGGTGCAATCCTACCCTGCTGAGGCAGAAGAATGTGCTACAGATCCTAAAATGCCCCAGCCAGCCAGCCTGTATGGGATCGTTCCCTCAGCCACTGCAGGACACACACCAAACATTTGCCTGGGCCAGAATGCGCATTTGCATGACAAATGCCCACCAGTGAAAGCAAGTGAGGAGCCAGCCACATCTGGCTACTCACCCCATCTATGCTGTGGCAGCCACCTCTTCTGTGTCCTTTCAAAGTTTAGGAAGGGCATTCCTGGAATGCGGCCAAGGGAGCAATGCGTGAGCTTCTACAGTAAGTTGCTGGCCCGTGACATTTACTCTGGTCCTTCATGCGAAACACGTTTTGGCTGGCTGTCATCGCTCTCTGTGGGCGAGGAAGCCGCTTTTGGAGGATTACCTTCGATAGGCACAGCTCTTTTGAAAAGCAGCCTTCCCTGGTAAGGCGCTCTCCTGATAGGTTAGACTGCAATTCCATCATCCCCCAGCCTGCATGATCTGTGATGACTGCGGATGATGTGTCACATACTCCAACCCATCTGCAGGGCATCGGGTTGTAGAAGTCTCAGAACGAGCTGGGTCAAAGATAGAAGGGATGGTGCCATGTAGGCTTGGGCAAAGCAACAGGAGGGGACACTCGTAAGGTGGTGGGGAGAGATTTTTCTTCTGCTCCCAGCACTGAAAATGTTCCTCTTTGGCTTCCTAGTTTGCCTTCAGGTTCAGGTCACCAGGGGTGGTTTGACTCTCGGCAAACTGCAAAGCAAGCTGACAGCAAGCCATTTCCAACTGCAGCGGAGATCCATCGGCAGCGCTTCTTGTGCATGTATTCAGACTTGGATTCAGAATCACGCAAGAACATCTCCTCGGTGTACCCCTTGCCTGTGCTGCTGCAGAGAAGTTTCGAGCTCAGGAGGAGGCTCGCCCGCCATCTTCAGAACCACGGGGATAAAAATGAACGGTGCTTAGGAATTCAGAGGCGGCATCTGCATTCGCTGGTGCTACCTGAAGCTTTTGTCTGCTCCCCCACACGATGGACTGGTCTCCCAACCTCACCTGCTTCTCCCTCACCACTTTGGCAGGGTCCAACCAGACGGGCTCCGGCTCCCCTGCCGAGCTGCCTGGCCCCGGCAAGTACCTGTCCGTGTTCAGTGTCCTCATCTCGACTCTGCTGGCCATGCTGGCCATGGCCACCTTCCTGTGGAACCTGCTGGTCCTGGCGACCATCCTGCGGGTGCGCACCTTCCACCGGGTGCCCCACAACCTGGTGGCCTCCATGGCCATCTCGGACGTGCTGGTGGCCGCCCTGGTGATGCCGCTCAGCCTGGTGCACGAGCTCTCTGGGCGCCACTGGCAGCTGGGCAGGCTGCTGTGCCAGGTGTGGATCTCCTGCGACGTGCTCTGCTGCACGGCCAGCATCTGGAACGTCACCGCCATTGCGCTGGACCGCTACTGGTCCATCACCCGGCACCTGGAGTACACGCTGCGCACCCGCCGGCGCATCTCCAACGTCATGATCGCCCTGACCTGGCTGCTCTCGGCCACCATCTCCCTGGCGCCGGTGCTCTTTGGCTGGGGGGAGACCTACTCGGAGCACAACAAGCAGTGCCAGGTTAGCCGGGAGCCTTCGTACACCATCTTCTCCACCTTTGGGGCTTTTTACCTGCCTCTCAGCGTGGTGCTTTTCGTCTACTGGAAAATCTACAAGGCGGCCAAGTTTCGCATCGGGTCCCGGAAGAACAACTCGGTCACCCCCGTCGCTCCCGGACCCCTGGAGGTTAGTTCTTTTGGTCCAGGTGGGCGGCCTGCTCTCTGGGAATGGGCAGTGCCGGCCAGGGGCAGTCCGAGGCCAGGAACGTCATGCTGATCTCTTGCGGGACCGAGGCCTTCGCACGAGTGCTGTGAGGGGCCGGCTGTGCGTGAGAGCAGGGTGCTACCTTCATTCAGGTTTCTTGTTTGGCCATGAACTTGCGAGGTCGCCATGACTCCTCCTCATTCTCCACCTTCCCCCTCATTTCTGCAGCATGGGGTCTAGTAACTCTGATGTAGTTTGCAGGGCTCTTGCAAGGAGGATACTTGCCTTCATTTTGACCAGAGAAGTGGGACTGGCAACCAAATGTGGCAGCTTTGGGCATTCTGTCTGGGGGCCTGCCAGCTGTGATCTTTCCAGGGCACTCCATTCCATCTTTCTTCCCCTGACCGCATGCCCTGTTTTTCCTTTTTTTTTAATAATAAGTTTTATTCAAAATAACCCTAAAACAAAAGAAAACTAAAAACAACATCAATCATCGGAAACATCGGACCTGCTGGGTCAGCCCCCACATTTTTTTCTATTTATTATAACTTAAAAACATATTTAAATCTATACGAAGTCCCATTTCTCTAGCCAATAATAAAAAGAGTCCCAAGTTTGATAGAAATCAGTATCTTCTTTCTCCTCCAGTGACAAAGTTAGTCTATCCATTTCTGCACAGTCCAAGATCTTTTTTAGGATGCATGCCCTGTTTTTCTTTTGACCACTGAGTGTTCTGTGCCCACGAAGCAAGTTCGACCAGCACTGTACTGTTTTTTGCTGTGTCCCCAGTTAGAGATTTTTGTCTCTCCAGATTTTTTGTAGGGATATCCAACCCTCCTTTACCTAGAAAGCAAGTCCATTGTTATGGTTGCTGCCCTAAATGGTCAGGCACTGATTGAAGCTGAGACAGGTTTCTCACGTAGGAGAACCTGCATAATACAAGCCCTTTGTTTGCATATGGATGTATTTCTGTATTTGCAAACATGCTCACTAAAGGGTTGTTTTTTTTTAAATATACACTGTCAGTGTTTGCAGTGTGCTTCCGTTTTCAGGGCTGGATAAAAGCCTTATCAGTCCCAAGTAATCTGATGCGTTATGTCAGAAACTAAGCATTAGTACCCCAACATTCCTTGATTCTCTTTATGTGGGATATGATACCCACTTACAAGTATGCAGAAGATGTCTTAATCTGTCATGTGGGCTAGAAATAGAACATGATTCTAGTTTCTAGAAATAGTTTCTAGAAGCACGTGGATCAAAAAGAAAAACAACTAACCGGAAAGAACCTTCACATATGAAGATGGGAATGACCACTTTTTTACAGAGAGGGAGTGTGGAAAAGCAGACCACGTGCAGCTTTCCCTGGTGCTGAGAAGTCAGTCCGAAATATTTCCAGGATGTGGGCAGCCGCTGTGGCGGACGAGCGATCCAACAGTCTCCGGGTTTTATGCTGGAGTTTTTCCCAGCCCTGCATGACCCGCTGCTGTATCCTATTTCTTGGTTCTGCCTGCCATACTTTTGCCCGTTAGAACAGTGGCCGTCCTTGCCCGGTCTCTTGGGTTGTAAGGGTGGCAGCGTCTCATAGCAGGCCATTAACAAAGACCATCACGGGCGTTTCCAGGGATTGAAATGTGGGCTCTGAAATCTGCCACCTGGCACGGCTGCCTCATTGTGCCTGACGGCAGGGCCGGCCCCCAGAGCGGTGGGGCTCCGGAGGGGCCAAAGAGCCTCCCTTTCAGGCCTGGCCTGGCTGGTCCTTTGGGTCTCCAGAGATGCTGAGCCACACGGTTCTGTCCCTTTGTTTGCTCTCGGCTCGTCAGCGAGGGCCTTTGTTTCTTGCACGGAGTGACTGTGTAAACAGCTCTGCCCAGCTCCCTGTGTCTAACGTCTGCGTGGTGTTCGTAAAAGGCACTGGGCACTACCCCTTATTGTTTTGCGGGATCTCGTGCTAGTTGGATGAACAAGCACAAGTGGCCCGTGGGATCTCCTGCGATGCAGTATCGTGGCGGTCGGACAGGTACAGCAACGACTCCACTAAACACGCAGAGGATGGGGGTTTCCGTGATGCCTCTCACAGCTGGTTAGGACAGGCATCCGAAGCGACAAAGCGCGGATGGGGAACTTGTGGGCCTCCCAGTGTGTCCGCCTGCAACTCCCATGAGCCCTCTTACCATCAGCTGTGCTGGCGAGGACTGATGGGGTTTGTAGGCCAAAACATCCAGAGGACTGCAAGTTGCGGATCCCTGGCGTAAAAACTGGAGGTACAGAACATGCCTCGTTTTTTCATCTCAGGTATAATCCAGATATTGGACTAGATGGGACAGGGGTCGTCCAGGTGAAGGCACACCCTTGCCCTTGATGATCATGCCTGTGGATTTACTTGGAGGAAAGATGTGGGGAATATGGCTGGGCCCTCGGCTGCCCTGGAACCAAGCTCTCCCACAGCAGGCGCAGGCGGGTTCCCAGGGCCTCGGACTGCAGCTGGAGCTGAGTTCGTTTCAACCGCCATCTCGTTATCAGAGCCCGAGCTGCCAGCCCTGCCGGGATCAGCCAACTCCCCTTCGTACAGCTCATGCTCAGAGTCTGAGCTGTCGGTCCCGCCACCACGGTCAGTTTCTCGTGCACGCCTGGGAATCCTGCCACGCACGGCATACAATATACAGAATGTGGAAACAGATTCCCACCTCGCCACTCCCACCTTCTGGTCTTCCACGGTGGCGGCCTGCCTTGTGCTCACGCCTTCAGCCCAGGCTGGCTGTGATGGCAGCTCCTATCTAATTAGGATCTCCGTAAAGCCACAATCTGCACAACACAGAGCTCTGCCATCTTCTTTGCCCAGAGGATGCAAACAAAAGCAAGGCAGCCTTGATGATGGACGGGGTGTGAGGGGCTGGAGAGGTAGAGAGCAGAGAACAGGAGGCATTGCCAGCTGTGGTGCAAAGAAGGCTTTGCAGCCAAGCTGTGTGTTTCCAGGAAAGAAGGACTGAAGGGGGGAGAGAGAGAGAGAGAAAAGCAGGGAAGTTTCAGGTCTAATGGACAGTCTAGGCTGGCACAGCATAAACATAGCACAGAAAGTAGAAAAATGGGATCGCGTGACATTGCACGGAGTTGGTAGAAGTTGAGAGGAAATGAGTGGAAAGGAAAGTTGCTGTAGCATCTAGAATAGAGCAGGAGCATGGAACTTGTGGTCCTCCAGATACTGTTGGACCAGCCGACATGGCCAATGGTGAGGTGTGATGGGAGATTGGATGGACCTCAAGGCCTCTGTCCCTGGACAGAAGCGTTGACTTTGATGTGGAAAGTGATGGGACAGGTGCAGAGGGAGGAAGCATGGCCTTAAGGATGCAGGTGGGAAGAATGCGTTGTGGTTGTCGCATCGCAAGGACTGTGTGGACATCCCTTGTCGTGCAGCTGGTTTTGCTGCGGCAGGCTTTGATTCAGACATGCTGCCCAGCCGGTCCCCTGGATGGCACGTCTCCTTCCTCCCGCACCTATTTGAATTGGTTCCTTTAGCAAGTCAATTATGGTCTCATCTTTGGGGACTTGTACTCCTCCACTTCACAGAGGCAGGATAATGCTGCTGAGGCGATGAAGCCTCGCCGGCACCTTGCCCTGCATTTGGAGGGCCATCGGGCAAACCAGCTGGTCTCGCACCGAGGAAATGTTTGCAGGGACTAAACGATGGATTGGGCAGGAGGCAAGTTGGGTGCTTTTGAAGAGGCGCGTGACCCCGACACTGTTACTGCAGCAGCAAAAGCTGAGAATGAGCGTGCCTCGTTCATCAGCCTGTTTGTCACAAAGCGGGTATGACAGTTACTTCTGTTGTTACATTCAAGATCAAGACTGTGTTGAGCTGATAGTGTGTTATCTAATGCACAAGGATACAGGTTAAGACTGTACAAACTCTGCCAAGTTGTCATCCTGTAGTTATAACACAATGTGTTGGTAGAGAGAGGAGGCAGAAATAAAGAATTTGGGAGTGCTTTTATTGATTGATTGATTGATTGATTGATTGATTTGATTTCTTACCACTCAATTAGCCTCTCTGCCTATTAATGTTAATATACTTAATGGAATATTACAATAAAACTAGCAATTGCAATAAAATGAATAATAACAATAAAATCAATAATAATCAACAAAAGTGAATAAACAACTAGTAAAATAAATAAAGGAAATAGATGAAATTGAAATGAGATACAACATAATAAACCAATTAAACAATTAAGAAAATAGAAATAATCATACATGATTAATCCATACAATTATGGACTGACAGCAACTATTTATAGTATTAAAAACCTTAAAAGCATCCATTGAAAACAAGCCAACAAGCCAAGAAGCGGAACAGGGAAGTCTTCAGTTGGCATCTAAAGGAATGTAATGATGATGCCAATCTGAGCTCAAGCGAAATCAGGTTCCATGATTGAGGTGCTGAGACACGGGAGGAAAGATTGTGCTCTACCATTGGTGTTTCTTTGGCATTTGCCCTTCGAATGCTTGAAATGGAGGGAGGTGTCTCAATGCAGCTTCTCCTACCTGGTGCACAGGTGGCCCCTCAGCCAGGGCAGGGAGCACCTGAAGTTTAGCCACCTAGAGCAGCTCCTCCTCCTTTCAGAAGTTGCACTCCGGTGTCTTTCTGGCAGCTCAAGTGACGGAGGAAGGCCCTGGGGGAGGGGGTGCGGCTGATGATGATGCAAAATGTAGCACTGTCCCACCGGGCTATTCCACGTACCATGGTGCATTGAAGGCTCGTTTGTGCAAGCTACCTTTTCTTACATGTATGCTACTAGAACCCTGACATAACATCCACAGCCAGTGCAAAAGACACACACCTAGAATTAAAAAGTTCTCAAGGATTTGTTTGGAGCAGTTGAACTGAACGGAGTTCAAATTGGCATCAGATTCCACCCTGGTTAGCCCAGACTTCCTTGGGCTTTACTGTAAAAGTCAGGGGGTGGGGAGGATTCCATTTCATCCCTGCTCTTAAATCATGGGGACTTGGAACCTGGAGAAGGGCCCCAGAAGATGACCTGAAGGTCTAGGAAGGCCAGTCAGTGGAAAGCATGCTGTCTGAAGATCCTCTTTGTGTTTGGCAGGTCAACAACACCTCTCGGCAACCACAGATGGTGTTCACTGCCCGCCATGCCACCGTGACGTTCCAGACAGATGGGGATACATGGAGGGAGCAGAAGGAGAAGAGGGCTGCACTGATGGTGGGCATCCTTATCGGCGTCTTTGTGCTGTGCTGGATTCCTTTCTTCATCACGGAGCTCATCAACCCTCTCTGCACCTGTGACATTCCACCCATCTGGAAGAGCATCTTCCTTTGGCTTGGCTACTCCAATTCCTTTTTCAACCCGCTGATCTACACGGCCTTCAACAAAAACTACAACAATGCCTTCAGGAACCTGTTTTCCAGGCAGCAGTGAGCAAAGTACAATCAGAGGGGCAGTGACTTTTCAAACACTTCTCTCTTCACCTTGCACAGAAGCATTAAGGACACTCAAGGCTTTTCCAGACAATCTGTTTATATCTCAATAAACACCTCGACATTTGTGGAGACACAAAGCAACAGTTTTGTTCCTGGGAGAACGCGATCTCCCTTCCCAGCTGGCCATTGCTAATATTGTGTGGACCAGTGTTCCATCAGCGCTGATGTCGTCCGCTGGATGGAACTGGCGCCCTCCTTGGGGAGGAGTGTGGCTGCCTTCCGTCCAGTGTGATGACCTCCTGTGAACAGCATGATGCTGCTGTTCTCACTTTTGGCACCTTCGACAGTGGCCGCCTTGCTGCGTTGCTCAAACTTTGGCGTACCCAAGTAGTCTGAAAAGGGAGAAAAATGAGAGAGAACTAGCAGAGCCCCTTTGCACTCCTAAAATATTTCCCCTCAGTTTAATATTGTCTTATCCAGTTACAGCAAGGCTGCACGATGTTTTTCAGACCGAGGGCCAGCTTCCAGTTCAGAGACGCTCTTGAGGACTGTATTCTTGGAGGGCAGGACCAAAAATGTCAACATATTTTAGATTAATGCTCTTAGTTTCAATAGGAAATCCTTGGGAGAGCCACTTCTTTAAGATCGAGGGAGACTGCACAAAAGCCACCAAACCATTGACGGGTGGGAGAAAGGGGGTGGGGCCAGGGAAAGGGGCGTGGCCTTCTGGGGACCTGAGGACCAGATCTGGTTCCCATGCCTGACGTCCTGCACCTTTGGGTTGTGCTATTGAAACATACACTGACTAGGATATAAAGAAGCGAACAAGGGGGGGTCTTTGCACTTGGAGGTTGTCAAAAAGCAGCTCCCCACTCACAACACTTCCTGGTGAGTCACTTTCAAAACCATTTGGTGTGTGAAGAAGATGAGTTGTTCAGAGCAGGTATGTCAGACAGCCAACTGGGACATGCACGTCACTGCATGGAGACTGAAATTGCTTTTTAGATCCAGGCTATTCCCCACTTATACTGCATTCCAAAGATGACTATGTAATAATATTGTGACTAACAGTGAGGCACTGTATCATCTTTGTATCTCCCTGTGTGTGTGTGTTTTTTAAAGCATCTTGTCTAAATATTCCTTGCTGTAAGCCAACCCCTTTCCTCCAAGCCTGGTATTGTGGTGCTGCATGGGTGCGGTACTATAGATAAAAATCTGTATTCAAATAAAACAAATGCAAACAAGATCTGCAGAATGGCACTAACAAATGTTTCGATATTATTTTAGTGATGCTGTGAAATTTTGTAATTAGCTTGTGGATTAGAACTTGTGCATTTGTAATGCTCATTTTAGTGCCCTTAGATTGCTTTCTTACGATTTTCTATAAGTGTGGAATTTAATTCCAACAGGAAGGCCACATAGAAACCACCAGTGAAGGAAAAGTACATAACATGCTAGTGCACGAGGCACAACAGGATTCTGTATGTGAGCGTGAAAGATGCGGTTTGATCTTGCACAAATGCAAAAAGTTGTACATGCAGAATGAGATCTTAGATTAAAGGAGAATTGTAATCCGAGTTTACGGGGTGAATTGGTTACTTTCCAAGGACAGCAAATACACTGGGGCAAGTTTGTTCATCACAAAGACTTTTGTTAAACACATGGAACGCAACTCAGGAACTCGTAACACAGAGTCCTGGGCATGCCTCTGCTGAGTTAATCACATTACTTGACTGTCCGATCATCACAGCCCATTTCTCCAGCAAACACAATTTATTGTCGGTTCATTTTCATGACATACAGGAAAATGACCGAGGAGTTGGAATACCTTTCTGATGATGAAACATTAAAGTGTTTCTGGCTTTTTTCGATATGGAAAAAGATGCCCAATGTATTGGGAAGGGAAAAGGTATATGGCAGAATGGAACAGAACATTTATAAAATTATGCACGTGAGAAAGTGGATAGAGTTGTTCTAGCTCATAATAATGGAAGGTGGGAGAGACCTACATTTGATGGCATCATTTCCTGGCTGGCTGGGGCATGCTGGGAGCAGTGGGACCTTTTTCTGTCTAAACATGCGTTAGGTTGAACCCTAAAACATAGAACTGGTTCGCAGTCCATGTACAGGGATGGGGAAACCTGTCCATCCCATCATCTTCCATACTCAGTTTTTAGAAATTTCATCTTCTTTCTGTCCTGCCTATGAATCTAGTGAATTTGGGTAAATTCTTACCAAAATGAATGGAAACAAAAATTCTCCCTCCTCTAAACCGACTAAAGGCACAGCGATTCCTAGCATGGTTAAGCCAACGATGTACCTGCCTGCCGTGCAGCTGTCAGAGATGAAGCATTTGTCAGAAAAAATTGATCAGCAGCACTAATTGAGCATTTACATGGCTCAATATGCAGGGATCCAAACACAGCCTTCTAACAGCAAAGCACTGACATCCCTGATAGATGGACAGATTTGCTAATTTCACAAGTTCTATTTCTCTTGATTATGGAGAACTTTGCAAATGTGTAAATTTGTATCCAAACTCAACATCCTTACCTATCCCAATACACAGATATACAGCACTGGATACAAGCTGCTGAATCCTGAACCGGCTCCAGTGACAAAGACAGGACAGGCAGGGCAGTTTGAGCATTCGCTTGGCGGTGTTCTGGAATACTTGCATGCAACAGCAAGCGATGGACACGTATCTGTGAGTGCAGGGAGATTATGTGAGCTCTTTTGAATGGATTCCTTTCTGTACAATGTAATTTTACCGATCAGTGCTCAAGTCTGTACTTGGAAAAAGACCCAGGTATTTGCAGGTTTAAGCTCTGGACTTTCCCAAGCCCTTCCAAGTGCCTAGGGCAGCTTCGCAACTTCAGTTTTCTTCAGGAGGAGTGTGGTGTTCGTATACTGTTCATTTAGAAATATGTGAGATGGTCAGTGGGGGAAGCCGTTTCGCATACAGGTGGGCAATGCTCACCTAAGACACCGACCGTCCTCCCAGATCAACGGTGCAGCCTTGCCTTGAGTTGTTCTCATCGCTGCTGCTGCAACCTCCCATTGCCGTTTGTTTTCTCCATAAAGCGGGGAAGTGGGAGGTCTAAAGCTGATTTGGTAAACAAGCTCATCTTGACCATTTTGGCACTCCGCAGCCTCTACAGATCTCTCTCTCTCTCTCTCTCTCTCTCTCTTTCTCCCCCTGCATCTCCTGATCAATCCAAGGGGCAGTAGGGTGCACTGGGGAATTGCAGTGGGGAGGGGTAGCAAGGATTGCCTGTGGCTTGCAGGCCTTGTGTTGCCCACCCCTTCAGTCAAGCAAGATCGAACTCTGCCTAATACCATGAACGAGAGTGGCCTTCATTTGACAGGTGCGTACAGAGGAAAACAAGGAAGAGAACAGGAGAAGTGAGATGTTATCTTGACAGCTCTCCTGCTGCTCCAGCCTGAAATTGACAGGCCGACTGAAATGTAAAGCCAACTCTTTTCGACTGCATTGTTGTCTGCTGCTCACAGAATGTGGATGTTTTCCTTTATGCTGCTTCATAGGGAACTGCAGTGTTTTTGTATTGACTCTTCTTCTGCTTTGAGTCTTCCTTCCTTCCTTCCTTATTGAATCACTCTCAGTGCAACCAAATCAACCCTGAAAAAGCAAAACATGAGCTGACGTGGGGAAATGTTAAAAGGATGGTGTCAAGAATCATGCCAATTCGCACATCTGGAGTTTTCTGAGGAAGTGGCGGTGACGTTCAGTGGCGAAGAATCAAACTGTGCAACTTGCTGTATGTGTCGTGGGCAAATCCTGGTACCCACCAGATTTGTTGAACTTCAGCTTCTCTCGTCCTCAGCCAACACATCCAGAGGACACCAAGGCTGGGAAACGTGTGTGCTCTGCTCTCAGCGGGGGCCCAGAAGGGGAGATTGGAGACCTGGCAGCAGCACAAGCCAGCATAGGGAAGATCAGCACCACGGACAGCTCACCGTGGAGCCCGGAAGGCGTTGGGCTGGATGCCGCACAGCCCAAAGCATTGAGCCTGGAGCGGACTTTGTCCTCTGATCAGGCTGATGTTCCAGGTTTGCCCCATCAGAAGACATACCTTTGGACCTGCTCCTCAGCTGCTGGCTCTGGATTCTTCTACTGGATGGGATGGGGTCATGGATGGTGCTGTCTCATTACTTATTATTTTATTATTATTTATTATTAGTCATGAGGTCAGAGAGTCTAAGGGGCCTTCCATGTTAAGAGGAGGAGAGCTTGTCTGACTCTCTGACTGTGCAGGTAGCACAACCCATGGCCTTCCTTTCCAAAGGAGTGTGTTTCTAACCTCTCCATTCTTCCTTGTCATCGGATACTAATATTAAATCCAAATCCTACATTAAGCCAAATCCTGTAACCACTTTCACTGGCATCTCCTAAGATCATACTCCTAAGGGTGGAAGCTTAGGAGCTTCTTGACTGGATTATGCTCAGAGTAAGAAAATATTTCAGGACAGAAAAGGTGAGCAATGTACTGTATTTGTGGTGTCTCACCCAGGATATGCAATTCTTGCCTTGTGCAAAGCAACTGCAGGTCAAACCCATTCTCGAGCCTTCTAGCAGTAGGAACTCCATCCACCTGACACAGATTAATAATAATAACAAGAAAAAAATCAGATTAAGTGGAGTAGCAAAGTTGGGTGGTTAAAATAGAAAGGAATGCCAAAGAATAAAAAAGTTTCACTTATTTTAATTAATTAATTCATTTCCATACCTCCCAATAGCTGCAACTTCAACTTGGAAGTATGGGCATTAAAATGGCAAATGTGTTTCAATGTATGCTAGTGTAAAACAACACATACTGGGACAAAAACATCCCAACTTTGCATATCCATGAATGGAATTGAGCTGGTGGTGACTGAGCAAGGAAGAAGGCCCTGGGTTGTGGTGGGCAGTTCAAAGAAAATGTTCGCTCAATGAAAATGTTGATGCGGTGTGCAGCTTTGGTGAAACAAGCAAGTTTC